CCCCCACACCACCCCTAGATATTTCCAGTAAATTCCTGTGACGGAGCTGGATCTGGAGCAAGCCAAAAACACAAAGCGCCTCCAGAACTGACTGTGGTGGAACAASGGGTTTACCGTTACCGTCTGCCATGTGCTATTCAGTCGTACCTCAATCCATCTGACTGTGCGGGACCACATTTATAGCTTGCAAACTTTCACGAGTATGGTGCCTGCTCTTCACTCGTGCCGCAGCTGCCTTGACTGTGTGCTTCTTGTCTTGTTTCTATTTTCGTTCTGTTTTGGGGGGGGGTGGTGAAGGGGAGGGTCATTAAGTGCGCGTAAGAGTAATGTTGGTCATTGATTTCCTCATATACCATCAACAGGTTCCACTGTAGATTAGTTCTTTTTCACTCACACGTTGCATTCGCCAAAAAAGAGTCAATACCAGAAAGAAAGAAAGAAAAAAAACTGTATATCTACTCCCTTCTACCATGCATGATGTACCGCACGACACACGCGGCAGTCGCAGACCTCCGTTCCCTCTCAGGCTTCTCAATCMAGATTGTATCATGSGAAGAAAGACTACTCTCAATCATTGTACCATTTGCATTTAGTTACGATTCCAACAGGACACGGGAGCACGACGGGACTAGCTCGTCGAAAACGATGAGAAGCACCGATTCCTCGTATGCAACGGAGTGATACGGTAGTTCTTCACGACGTCATTATGTCTGTCCAGATGTGGNAGAACGAAAACCCGCCGCCTCAGATGTATCTGGACAGCGGTGCAGATAAGTTCGGTCACAGGAGCGTACAAATGGGAGGCTGGACCCGACTTCCAGCAGGCTGAGCAGGGAGGTTGCTCACCGCCGAAGTGATGGTGCTTTGATCAATCCCAATAATGGACCTCGTTGATATACACATATATATATACGTATATATATATATATATAATACAGATAGATAGATAGATAGGAAGGTACAGTTCGAGTGGCCAAGCTTAGGGCACACTCACACTAGCGCACTTTTCTAAATGCATGTGACCGCATTGGCGGCCGGACCCGGATGTACGTGGCCGCAATTACGTCCGTAAGACCCCCCCCCCCTCTCCTTTCCCGCCGAAACTCTTCCGGCTTTTGTCTATCCGCAGTCTGTACTGTGAAGTTTGRACCTATAAAGGACTCGAGGCATTGACGGTACCATATGCATTTCCTGCGCACTTCCCAGCGGGAGAGAGAAAGAGAGACAGCTCAGAGAGCAGACGCTGTGATCTGACCGAAGAACCAGCAAGACTTTGAAGTTTCTGCCTTCTTCCACATCCTCGTTGTTCGTATTCCATCTCCTGACACCTCCTCGACTCCCTCTCCTAGATCTCGAAAACTGCTTTCCGGATAGTCTGACCCTCGTTGTCGTTGAGGGCAGCTCTCTCTCTCTCTCTCTCTCTCTCTCTCTCTCTCTCTCTCTCTCTCTCTCTCTCTCTCTCTCCGCGGAGTCTCGTGTGTCTCTGTGTGTGTGTGCACGTTTGCGGATGCGGTGCGTGGGTGTCTGTTTTGCACGTTCCGTAGCTCTGTCTCCCTCTCCCCCCTTGCTCTCTTCGTTTCTGCCCAGCATGCATGGTTGGTTTGTATGTTACGCTTGCTTGAGTCGGATTGACCGTCTTTTACCTCCCCCTTGGCAAGTTGCTGCATGAGGGCGGCAATAGCTGAGTATGCACGGACCTCAGCATAGATACTTTCTATAGCAGAGATACTTTCAAACCACCGTTCTTAAAGAAAAGCTGTGATGTTGTCTGCCGTTTGTGTGTCTTCGTGCGTGCGTTCGTGCGTGCTGAGCAGCAGGTAGCCACGGTGACCGATCTTGTCTGCGAGAAGCGGAAGAAGAAGTTCGAGGCAAGAATAGCCTCATGAAGAAGCCGGCCGTCGTTTGTTTGCTGGCCATCACCCTCCTGCTGGTGGTGGCCGTGCTGCTCGTTCAGGGGAGGGACGATCCCGAGGGCATCCGCGAAGGAGAGGAGGCCGAACGTGGGCTTAGTGGTGGCGGTGGTGGTGGAAGAGGGTGGTGCCATTCT